ATATATATTTTTAAAAAAATATAAAATCTTAGAATTGTTTCAACTTATGTTAATATAAAGTCATGGAAATGTAATGGTATTATTTTGTAACTTATTGTCACGAAAATGTCACAATTATAAAATATCACGAAATTTTGTTGCAACTTCTATTGGTATATAAAGTTACAGACGTGTCATGATATTATTTTGTGACTTATTGTTATAGAAATGTCACTATTTTAAAAAAGTCACCATTGAAATTCTACGGAAATTGTTCCGTATATTTTTTTAGTGACTTTTCAGTAAAAATTAACCAATTTATATTAAAGTCTTGACATTTTTTTTTTTTTTTTGACTAAATTGCACAAAACCTACATGTGGTTTCATGAAATTGCGTCAAATCCCCTATATTTCTAAAACTGCGTCAAACTCCCTCGTGGTTTCATAAACTCTGCGTCTAACCCCCTCGGCGGTCCTTATTTAACGATATTTGATTTAAATGCGCTCACTGCGAATAAATTTTAGAATCTCAACCCCTAAAATTATAAATATATTCATTTTTCTTATATTTAGTCTAAAAAATAGTAAATATGTTAAAAAAATAGTTATTTTTTTAAAGGTTTTAAGAGTTTATTTTTACTCTTTTTTGGGCTAAATATAAAATATATATATATATATATATGTAATTTTAGAGGTTTAGAAATTGAAATTTTAAAATTTATTCGCAATTTGGGCAAATTTAGGTCAAATATCGTTAAATAAGGACCGCCGAGGGAGTTATACACAGAGTTTATGAAACCATAAGAGAGTTTAACGCAATTTTAAAAGTAAGGGGGATTTGGTGCAATTTCATGAAACCATATGTGAATTTTGTGCATTTTAGCTTTTTTTTTTTTTTTTTTACTGCAACTATAGCCCAATTTTCTGGTAGTGAATATACACTTCACTTTATCTCATCACATCACTCAAATAAAAAAATAAATATATATTTCTCTCTCCAATCATATAACATAATCTTCAAATGATCTCAAATTATCATATTTAATACTACCAATTTAAATTCTCGTGTCAAATTCAAATATTGTGCAGTATTTGAGACAGATAGAGTATAATTTTGCAAAACATGTAATAATAAAAAGAAGTATTATACTAATGAATCTATTCGGTAAATAATATATTAAAATAATCTTTGGATTATCTGTCGCTTTAGGGTTAGATAGGTTGTATCTAGCCTGTAGTTTAGATCGAGTGTTAGGTTAGGATTATAATTGTTAAACGAACTAAGTAGCTCGTTAAACGAGTTGAGCTTGAGTTAAAAAATTATTATTTTTATAAACAAATCAAGCTTGAGCTCAGCTCGTGAATAGCTCGATTAGGCTCATTAGTGATAATATATTTATATTATTTTATATATTAATATACTCCCTTCATCCCAATTCAAAGTACTATTTTTATCATTTTTCTTATCATATTTCAAAGTATCTCTTTCCTATTTTCGAAAAAGTAATAATAGGTTAATATCAAAATACTCTTTAACTTTTACTTAAATTACAAATATATTATTACACATATAATTACACATTTCTCTTACTAATAAAATATTATTATTTTTTAATTTATTACAAAATCTTTGATAAGGGACGAATGGAGTAATCTATATAATTTTATCTTTTTTTATATCAAAGTTTGTGATTATTAATAAAATTTAAATATTTTATTATAATAAATTATAAATAAATTAAATATATTTAATTTATATATTAAAAAATATATAAAATATGTATAAAATTCAAATAGAACTTGAACTCGAGTTCGAACCTCACGAGCCAAGCTCGAATTTAAGTCTAACGAACTGAGCTCAAATTACTATTTTATTTCAAATTTTTAATGAGCCAAGCCAAATTTGTATCGTTAACAAGTTCAAATCAAATCAAACTTACTTGGTGTTCAACAGCTCGAGTTTCCGGAAGAGCCGTCGATCTGTCCATTGTTGTTCGTCGCTGGAAGAGGTCCCCGCCGTTGCTATCTGCTGCCGTCCTTGCTCGTCGTCCGTTGAAGTGAAACTGATTATAAAAACATAACAGTTTGGTTTATATGTTATTTAGAGTTTTGGTTGTGTTTAGCTTCTATTTTGTAGTTTAATGATTCTTTTTTAGTTTTACATGCTACTCCTATTAAAATACCTAACAATTATTATTATTATTGTTATTATTATTATTATTATTATTATTATTGTGTTAAACTTATCTAAGTTGGACCAAATGTAATTACAATTGTCTGTCAAATGTTTCTTTGGCACAATTTCTCCTAAATATCCTATTCAGTTATTTTTTATGGTTATTTTAGCGCTGAGGCAGATCTAGATAGACAAAGTCTGCAACGTAATTTCGTAGGTGTTGATTACACGTATATCTCTCTCCTCCACTGTTTCATCTTCCTTTCGTTACTCTGCTTCTTCTTCCTCCTCCATTATTTCTCATCTTCAATACGTGTTTTTTATTTTTTTCCCAAATTTTCTTCACCCCATTCATCGCAGAGCAAGGATCGTGGGATTTTAGCGATTTCGTCGGCGAGTGAAACAGAGGATTGCCGCGAAAAAGTTTGGAGGACGCACGTTGACAGGGGATAGGGTTTCCGGCGATTGAACGCAAAGAGGTAAGGAAAACCGAACTACATTTCAATTTGAAATTTAATTGATTAGTCGATTTCGTAATTCGTGAAATTTTCGATAAATTTATGATAGGACCATCCTACACACCAATCCGGCGTTGCCTCGCCAAGGGTTTCATACGGGAGCCAGAAGAATATGGATAGTTGTGAACGACCGTGCATTTAGGTCCGTTTTTCTGCTTCAATTCTAAGGGAAACAACCACTTATATGGAACGAGCACGACCCTACTTGATTAATTCTATTATGCTATTTTTGATGTTACGTGAACACACAACAAACAACAATCGACCACTGCCGTGCAAATGTGGTTGCATTTCTCTGTCTAGTGCATCTAGTGTTCTTTTCGAACAATCACGGACTCATGCATGGCCGTGCACAAACTTGTTCTTGCGTGTGTAGCTGTAGGCAAGGCTTAGAAGTAGATCTGAAATTCTATGGTTTTTAAGTTACAGGTGAAAAAAATATTAATAAAGGAGAAAAAAATTCACTCTTCACATATATTCCATTACTTTTATATTTAATATAACTTATTTTCAATTAAATTAAAAATCTTATTACTCCAATAATCACATATCAAATCACTATCCAATAAAACTCCCCAAATTCCAACAAAACCTACTGCATCAAAGAAACGCGGATTTTCAATACTTTTAAAAAAATTCAAATCCAAACCAAATTCAAACTCAATCTTTTGCTAAATTTTTGGCAAACTTCCTCACTAATTATTTATCAAATTTCAAGCCCAAAACTAAGCCAATAACATAAGGTATATTAGGTTCAGTCGGATTAATTCATAATCCATTCGAAAAATAATAGTTTTTGGTACCAATGCCATAAAAATATATATATATATATATAATATGTTGTTAGTTGTAAGATCAATTGTGATATATATTTTGTAAAAAAAATTATTTTATATTACACTTAAAAATTAAGGTTAGTGTCAAAATATAAACATACACCCTATGTTTTAAACAAAAATTAATACTCCTTCGGTAGTCTATTATAATAAAATATTCTCTTTTATATTTTTTAAATAAAAAATCATAATTTTTGAAGATATTTTAATAAAATAAAATAAAATAAAATAAAATAAAAATTTGAGGAAAACCTTTTTACGTCTATTTTAATATGTGGACACCATTTATTTAATTTATTTTTATATCAATAAAAAATTATATTAAAATAAATCAAATACACAAATAAACACCTAGCAATCGGTAAAAGAACAATTAAAAACCATACTCATAAAAATGGGTAGATAAAAAACTTAGGGTTTGTTTACCCACAAAATATATATATATTGTTTGCAAATATTAATATTCAATAAAAAAATATTATTTTAATGTTATTCATATAAAAAAAATTCAAAAAATCAAAATTCAAATTTGATTTTTAAAATTAACACACCCTATATACATTTTTCTGATATATTTTTTTTTATGACGTAGAAATTCGCATCCGTTATTCGAAAATACACACTGGGTAAATCCCAGGCCGACGAATCATATGTGACAGGTGACCTGAGACGTCGGGGGGTTGAACTTGTGACTTACACTGCCAGGTCATCCCTTAAGGACTTTCTGATCTATTTTGATTTCTACGGATGTTGATGCATTGAGAAGTTTGCCGGGTCGTTTCAGTAATATTAGGAGACATTTTAATTTGATGTTATCAATCTCAATGTTATAAGAAATTATTTAACAAAAGTTCAAAAATAAGATTATACATAAATAGAGATAACATATAGATTGATTCAAATTATAGCAATTTAACTGTTAGGAAAAAAAAAAAAAACAAATGTAAAACAAGTAAATCTAATATAAAATTAAATAACTAAATTAATTAATTGGCTCTCCAAATTTATATATCAATATATATATATATATTTTTTAATACAACACTAATTATTTTTTACGTTTTATTATGTGACTATATATTTTTTTATTAGTATATTTGATTTTTTTTTTATTAATTACTATCTTGAACTTGCTTCTTATTATTTTATATGATAATTTTATAACATATTTTCAGTATTTAAAATCTTGATATATGAATTTATTTTTATTTTTAAAATTTATTACTCATTATTGTATTAAAAAAAATTTATGTATAAATTTATCTCTTATTTTATTTTAATTTGTTATGTTATATAATAACAATAAGTTATACATTATTTTTAAAATTAAATTATTTTCAAAATCGATGAGTGTGTTATTTGGGTTTGAATTTAAAATAGTAAAATTTTTAAATTAAAATAATTATTTGATATGATATAAGTATGTATTTATATGATCTTTTGAACGTAACATTGAATTTAAGTGTAATTTAACAATACCCATATGCGATATTATTATTCGGTGATAATATTTCTTTATCGATCCTTTTTATGTATTTATTCATTATGAGCCAACGAGCTTGTTCCATCTAGCATATCCCCAAATAAGTAAGAATAGCGCGGCGGTGGCTGCCGTCATGCATCCAACAACTAAGCCGAAGATTCCATGCACGTTGCGCAATCCGATGGGAATGTTCATGCCCAAAATCCCGGTAACAAGAGTTTCCACGGCTACGGCAAATGAAGTTATCGTTATCATCAGCTGCAGTTGGATGAGTTCGTTCCTCTTATTGTCAAGTTGGATGTTCACATAGTCCTCGGTATCGTCGATATATTCTCGTACCTACAATCACAAATATAACAAACAATATAAGCTAGTAGAGTATATAATTTAAATATGATATAATTGCTTGCAACTTACATGTGATCGGTAAAGTCTGCACTATTCTTCTCATCTCATAGATTAGAAACCGAGCAACATTTCCTCGTATTTTTTTTCTCCAAACTATAGTATTTGAATATTAATAGCCTCCGATAATCCAATAAATTTAGGTATTTTGAGAATTTTTACAATAATTTAAAAAATTACAAAGTTATATTATGCAATTTCCAAATTATATTGGCAAATAATGAGAACTTTACAAATCATGAATTATAAGCAATTTTGTCTTTTAAAATATATATATATATATATGTAATTTGAATTTTAATATGAATAACAAATGCATGATAAATTTCTTAAGATGACGATGAATCGTATAAAGGGATAATGATTTCACCAATCATTTATGATAATTATTTTAGAATGGAGGTATTTTAAATCATCTTCCTTAAGAAATAAACTCCTTAAAAATTATTTTACAAAAATATTTTTATAAACTTTCAAATTAATTATGAGGTGTGTTTGTTTGGGGGATTGAATTTTAAATACATTATTTATTTTATTTTTTTCCCCCAAAAAAATTAAATTAAATACCTATTTTTTATTTTTTATATTATACTAAAAATCAATTTTACATTCAAAACATCGAATCAACACCTATTTATATAACATCATACATAGAAAAACTCAAATTCAAACCAAAACTAAAGAAAATTATGGGTAAACGAACCCTAAGATATAAAGGGTGCCTTTGGTTTCGATTTCAAATTCAAATCAATACTAATATAGAGCTACAACAATGCATCACTTTTTTTAACAAAATATAAATAAAAATATTATTTACATAAAAATTTAAATTTTACAAAAATAAGTTGTAAGAGATTCAAACTTTAACATCCCCAAGTTCAGGTTCCACATTATTAAAAAAAAAATAAGTATTTTATGTAATACTTTTTATAAAAAAAAAATAAAATTATACTAACAAATCATACCAAAGAAATAATTTCAAATCATGCTAACAAAGTATTAATTTTTAAATATAAAATATACATTACATACATAACGTTCTAATAAATAAAAAAGTACTCACTTTTATATATATAAAAATTAATATAAAAGATATTTTAGATATAATATTTTAAATAAAAATTCACACATAAAATATAACATTTAATTATCATTTTCTACTTTAATATTTATTTGCAACAAATATTAACATCATTATTATCCATCCATTCATATTCTTTCTTCATTTTTTTTTTGTAAATTTTCATATATATTCAAACTATCTTTATATTTTTATTTCAATAAAATATTTATTTTTATTAATCCCGCCAACCCCAAATCTGCTAAAATGGCTGGAGAGAAAGAGAAGGAATAAATTAGAAACTTACAGAAAGTATTTTGTTACGAGTGAGATCCAAGTGCATGAAGTATGCTTCCAGCAACATTTCCAGTTCCTCCACCTCCCACTTGCACTTGCTGCTCCTGCTCATCAACAAATTCTCACATCTAATGTAGCTGCTGCGCCAACTACATGTTGCCGGAGCCACCGCCGGAGCTAAGATATCACTATCTTTCGACGAGGACAATGCCTCCGATTGTTGATTCTGTGTCCTCTTTCGCGTCAAGTATAGTTGCGCCATGTCTTCATCGTTGTCTAGAAGATGCTCCATTTCATCTCTCACCTATCACCAAACACATGTCAATCCAATTTCAGGATTTCACCCCACAGATCAAAAGCAATGTTAGTAAACAAATACGCGTTTAAACTTTTAGGTAAAACGTGGAAGATAAAGGACAGGGAATAAAGAAAAACAGTGCACAAAACCTTGCCCCCAAAATGTTGGAAAAAAATTGGCAGACGAGATTTAAGCTAACAGAGTTTTAGATTTGCAAGAACAGCAACAGCCAAAGAGCCTATGAATCATTGATCTGTTAAAACTCTAGGGGGTAAGAACAATCTTACTTTCTGTACGTGCGCGAGCAAATGCGTGAGGTTGCTTTTCAGGCTCCGGACGCGCTCAAGGTTCTTGGTGTTGACGTTTATGGTTAGTTCATCCAAAGCAGGGTAAGCTTCTCTCTCGAGGTCGGTTACACCAGAGTCCAGATATGTGCAGACAGCCTCTAAGGCCGTCTCCAGGACCTGGAATTCGAAAGGGAGGTCTTCTTCCCATCCTTCAAGTGGCGGCGACAATTGTCCATTGAGGGGTAAGGATATGGAACAGTCTGCTGGTTCATCTGTAGTGCGGCTTTTATGCAGTAATTGTCGCCTCAGCTGATCAACATACGGAAGAACCTCGTGGCGAAGAGGTTCGAGTAGCAATACTTCGTCTGCAGTGACTATTGCTTTTATGAACTCCAAGTTCAGAATCATCGCCTTCTCTCTTGCTGAATGAAGAAACAAATCAAGCAGTTGTGAATTGAAAAAGGTATATTGAACATGGAGACACAGATAACTGTTGTAGAGATTCGGATATGCTAATTGAAGGAGTAGCTATGCAAATCAGACGAGCATTATTGATAACAGATGATCCAACGCTGCATAAGAACATCAATTGTTGAAATGGAATGCAATCAATAAGCATGGAGACAACTACTTTATAAAGTTGCAGATACAAATCAATGGATTGTGAGCAAGTTTTGGCCAGAATTTTATCCAGATGTTTGATTATCTCAAGCAGATTATCCAACAACACACAAGAGGTTCATCAATTGTTGAATGAAAAAGCAATCAGTCTTCATTTAGAACTAATTAATCGCTCAGCCAACATATTCAGGAAAATGCTAACACAAAAGTACTAAGAGAAGAGCTAGGGTTTGCGTACCGAGAATGGCGGAGGAATGAGAGAAAATAGGCCCGAGAATCCTCAAATCCCTAGCCGGTACGGAAGCGCGCTTGATAATCACGCTTCTATCGCATTCCATCATCTCCAACTGTCCCTGTCGATCTATTCTCAACCACAGCCGAGTTTTCTTCACAACCGCCTTGCTCGCCTCGGTCTGAGGCGGCGACGGTGGCGGAAATTGCGAAGAGGAGCTTCTATTCTTCCACAGGAACGTCGATTTCTCCATATCCACGCCGCAATCAGAAATCCTTGAGCAAATTTCAGTTCCGAAATATTTCAATCAATTGCGAGTGGATTTCCGAGCTCGGAATCGTAGTTCTCCTCCTCCACATAAGATCTCTGTCGGCCATTGGATTGAATAAGTAATGCATGAGATGAGAATGAGAAGATTCCTGAGGTGTGTAATGGTGGAGGTTAGATTTGGAAGTTAGTCTCCTCTCTGCTCTGCTCTGAAGCATTAATGGAGAAACAGAAGAATACGTCCATTGTTAATTCACTCAACTCAAAACATGCACTATAAAATCAATATGTATATTTTATTGGGGAATAAAAGAAAATGGCGTTGAATTTTGTCGCTAGTCAAAATATTAAATGTAGTAGCGTAATAATTTCTAATTACTTTCAAACCCTCCCTCCAACGAACTTATTTAAAGTCAACAAATGGTAATAATTGGGGGGTTAACTCTACACTCTTTTCGCTGCTGTCAATTAATTTTTACTGACTGACGGAGGAAGTAATTAGGTAAAATATAATTTACTGACTGAATTAAAAGCTTATTTTTTTTTTTATTTTTATTTTTTTTAAATTAAGAGGGTGTTTGAGAAAGAATGGTAAATTAATTTTTTTTTTAAAAACGCTAATTTCTGAAAAGCTCAACTACCCAACGTTTTGAAAGAGCTTTCTAATTTTAATTTTGGTTATTTTAAAACTTAATTATTTAGTTTATACATATAAATATATTTTTATAACAATGTTTATTAATTATTTTTAATATATTTAATCTATTAAATTATATTTTTATTTTTTAAATTTAAAATAATTACTATTATTATTATTACATATAAGTAAAATATATAAATTTTTAAAACTAAATCAAATAAAAAAAATTAAGGTTATTAATTTATTTATATATTAAAATAATAATTGACATAATAAAAATATATATTAAAGATTTATTATTTTATATTTTACATGATTTTAATAAAAAATTATTATTTTTTTAGTATAAATAATTTTCTTATATTTAAATAATAAAAATAAAAATAAATATTTTATAATATTTTTATAATTTTCAATAATTAATAACAAAAATTATAATAAATTTTAAATCAAAATGAACAAAATTATATATTTTGAAAAATATCAATGTTGTTAATAGTCATTTTAGGTATAAATAGCTAATGTCAAAAATTATTTTACGAAACACTTTAATACAAACCGCTAATTGAATCAGGTAGTCAAACCAGCTAATTGAATCAGCTAACAATTAAAAACTATCAGCTAATTGTCAAACTCACATTTAAAAAGTTTAACATAAATTATTTATAAATATTTTTTAACCTATTAATAAATTATCATCTTTTATCTATCATATTTTAAAATTCTTTTTATTTCTCTATATTTTCATATTCAATTCCAACAAAAATAATAATTCCTAAATTGTATTACCAATATATTGAATTTATTTCGAGTAAAACAAACAATATATTTAATTTATACATTTATATTATATTATGATTCTTTCATTAATTTTCAATTAATATATATGAGAATTTATTTCGAGTAATTTAAATTTAAAATAATAAAATATATACTCTGAATTATTAAACATCATATAAATTAATATTTAAAAATTAAAATATAATATATTATATAAAAATATAATTAGACAATAAGAATATATAGAAATTTGTAGAAATAAATAAAATATATACTCTCTCCGTCCCATAAATATAGTCTTAATTAGATTGGGTACGGAATTTAATGAATATTGATATTATATTGGTAGTTGGTAAAAAGTATGGATAAAAAACTTTTTTGTCCTTGTAAATGTATTAGTGTAAAAAGTAGTGACAATTGTGTAATAAACATATAAAAGTATGAGTAGTTTTATGGTGATATGATTATTTATAAAAATAAGACTGGTGTTTTAGGACGGACAAAAATGATAAATAAGACTATAGTATTGGGACGGAAGAAGTACATCATTAGATGATAAAAATATATAAAAAATAATAGGTTCTATAAAAAAAATATTAAAAATAATAGGTTGAACATGATATAATTATAATCGTGATAAAATAAATACTTGTAATATTGTGATAAATGTAATGTGGATAAAAGATATAAGAAAAATAATAAAATAAAGTTAAATACATGCAACATGCAACAAATGCTTTTAATAAATACTTTCTCCGTCAAGAAGTATACATTTACTTTTAGCGCAGAATTTAAAAAATAATAATATTTTAATTATAGTGAATAGGTAAAAGTAATATAATGACATTTTTGTCTTTATTTTTTGGTATAAAAATATTAATGTGATGTGAAATAATAGTATTTGTGAAAAAAAGTAGTGTATTTAATATTTTAGAATGGGGGAGTGCCCATATTTTATTACGAGCATAAATCAGTGGCTGATCATATTAAACTAGTAGTATCAATTTGAGCAGATCAACATAGGTTAGAGAAGTAATCAATATATATTTATATATATTTTAATATATTTATAATACTCCCTCCGTCTCCAATTTATCTATCCATTTTGTTTATGCATGAGATTTTAAGAATATTAGTATTATATCGGGATAAAGTAGAAATAAAAGTAAAAAGACTAAATTAACCCTATTAGTATTGTATGATATAAAGGTAATGACATTTGTGTAATATATTGTAAATTAGAAAGGTATTTGTAATGTTAGGTAGATAGTACAATTACTAAAAAAAAACGGATACTTTGTTATGGGACGGACCAAAATGAAAAAATGAATAAATGGTTAAGGGACGGAGAGAGTATAAAATATACATATTATAACATATGTTATTTTATAACACAGAATATGCTGAAATGTGTATAAATATACACTTATTTAGTTGGTCTAGCAAATATTATTTTAATTGCCTCTTTAAGTCTAATCAAGCTCATTCAAATCCTAAACAAACTAATTGATTGATAGTCACATAACATTTATATTCACCGATTATTTGGTTTGGAAAAGGTTCCAGTTTAATTTACCTATTAAATTTCATTAATTAATTTTTAATTAACTAATCAATAATTCTGATATAGATAAAAATATTCAGAATACACTTAAATTCCTAGACAATATAGACAAATCAGTATAGATATAGTCAATAAAAAATTTGTTAGAAAATTTCAAAATTATTTTGGTTAATAATATTTTATTGAAAATATAAAAAAATATGTTAAAAATTCTACAAACTCTCTCTAACTAGTTGTTTAATAAATAAAAATAAAGATATTGATTAAAATAGGTATTCTTTATCCTAGGCACCTTCTAGAAGGCCTAATAAAAATTGGGCTAGCTTAAATGGGCCTTATGCACCGCCCCAAATCAGAGGCCCATTAGTGCAGTCAAATCATTCTCTTTGTTTATTTTGGTTTTTTTGGATAGCTCTGGAATTTTCTCTGCGGAATCTTTCTGGTATGCTTCGAACTCACTCGTTCACTACGTAATTTCTCGCTTTTCTTCAAATTCGAGCGATAAATTCCGACGTAATTTGGCTTTGCCGTAAAAAGCGACTCCGATTCCTATTGAAAATGACCTAATTGTCGGTTTTTGTCAGTGGTTAATCAGGAGATCTCGTGGCCGCTTCTGTATTCGAGCGTGTTCAATCATTTTATCTGGAATTGGGAATTCACACTCTGTTGCAATCGATATCCTATCTTTTTGGTTCCTCGGAATGGAGAATTCGAACCTTGGTTGGAAAAACTAGCTGCAGTTTTGGGGATTTTTGCGAATTCTCGATGATATCACCTTAAATCTTCCTGGCTTGGATCTACAGCTCCTGAAATTAGCTTTTGATTCCCCGAGGTTGAATTTTAGGTATTGAGCTGCCCTACGGTGCCAAATAGAGCTAGATTTGGGTTTCATATCGAGAAGATCGGTACAGAGGATAGCAGGGAGGATTAAAATGGAGAAGTACGAGCTTGTGAAGGATATAGGTTCTGGAAATTTTGGTGTGGCGAGGCTTATGAGAAACAAGGAGACTAAAGAGCTCGTGGCGATGAAATACATTGAAAGAGGGCATAAGGTTTTCGTTATCCATACTTTAATTTGCAGATCACACAACTTCCGCTGCAATTTCTTGTTTTTACAGTTCGAATTGGTCTTGATTGTTTGTACTTTCTTCACCTTTCCTGGGTATTTTCTTTATTAGGTATACGAGTGGTGTTAGAATCTGGGATTTTGTCCTAATACGATCGAGTATTTTTGGTCCTTGAGTCTCACTATTTATTTTGTTGTAGATTGATGAGAACGTGGCTCGAGAGATCATAAATCATAGATCGCTTCGGCATCCTAACATAATTAGGTTCAAGGAGGTGAGGAATTATTAAATGTATGTGTAGTTTGGTGTAAAGTTTTATTATGAGGAATTACAATTCCGTTGGAAATTTGCAGGTGGTTCTGACGCCTACGCATCTAGCCATTGTCATGGAGTATGCTGCCGGAGGAGAGCTCTTTGAGAGAATCTGCAATGCCGGGCGATTCAGTGAAGATGAGGTCTAATTAATTAATTTGTTTATTTACTTTTGACTTGTTGATATTGTGAAAAGTGGCGTATGGATATTTACTTGAAGTTCATGGTTTTGATCCTTATATTTCAGGCCAGGTACTTTTTTCAGCAGCTTATTTCTGGTGTCAACTACTGCCACTTCATGGTAAGAGGAACCCGGAATTCTCTCATCTTTAGATCTGTGAGAAATTAGAATTCTCGTCTGAACTCATGATTTCTGTGCATTTGATAACTTTTGCCATGTTTTGTGTTGCAGCAAATATGTCATCGTGACTTGAAGCTGGAGAACACCCTACTTGATGGGAGCCCTGCTCCGCGCCTGAAAATATGTGATTTTGGTTACTCGAAGGTAAAAAAATGATGAACTGCTTCCGCCAGGGTTTTGTTTCACCTGATTTGAGATACAGTACTCACTTACTGCTTTGTCATATCTGTTTGTTAGTCATCTCTTCTCCATTCAAGGCCAAAATCAACTGTGGGGACTCCTGCTTATATAGCTCCTGAGGTTCTATCTAGAAGAGAATATGACGGGAAGGTAAGCAAGTTGTCTTGTTTCATCATTGGTCCTCCAAGCGCTGACGTCGGTTGGGTCTTATTTAATATTGCAGATTCTTGTTTCCAGTTAATTTTTGTTGGCAATTACTAGCTTCTTGGATTATAAATGATTCACAAGAAATTTGGGGAATGATTCTCTAAGATCTTTTCTTTTCCCTTTTACACAAATCGAACGTATTGGCTGAATTGCATGCCATCTGAATGATAGTTGTTTTTCAAGCTTGCATCAAAGAATGGATGGACCTGGATTAAAGAAACAAAAAATGCATAAGATTCTGACTGTTTTTTGTTAATTCTGGTTGATGTCTTTCCAGTTGGCTGATGTGTGGTCCTGTGGTGTAACACTTTACGTCATGCTTGTCGGCGCATATCCTTTTGAAGATCAAGAAGATCCAAAGAACTTCAGGAAAACGATCCAAGTCAGTCTTTTCATTTTTGGCCTTTTAGTTTCATATCCGTACACGAATTTATTGTTCATTTCCCTAATGTCTTAAAATGGTTTTCCAGAGGATAATGGCTGTTCAGTACAAGATCCCAGACTACGTCCATATATCTCAAGATTGTAGGCACCTCCTTTCTCGCATATTTGTTGCCAATTCTTCTAGGGTATGTTTTCTGCCAAAAATAATCAAACTTGATTCGGCATTGACTACTGGTGTAATTTCGCTGCTTCCGAATAATCATAGCACTTTTTAGATAGCATTAAATTTACAATTTAGTCCATATCTGTTTCCTGTTGGGAGTAATTTTGTTAACATAATAACAATTCAAATCACAAAGTTAACTAATATTTCCTATTTTCATAAGTGTCGTATATTCATTTGTGCTGCAGAGAATTAGCATCAAAGATATCAAGTCTCATCCATGGTTCTTGAAGAACTTACCAAGGGAGTTGACAGATGCTGCTCAGGCTGCATATTACCGTAAAGAAAACCCAACCTACTCCCTCCAGACTGTTGAGGAGATTATGAAAATCGTGGAAGAGGCTAAAGCCCCTCCACCAGTGTCTCGTTCAATTGGGGCCTTTGGCTGGGGTGGCGAGGAGGATGGGGATCGAGAGGAGGATGTGGAGGAGGAGGAGGAGGTGGAAGAAGAGGAGGAAGATGAATACGAAAAACAAGTAAAGGCAGCTCATGCTAGTGGAGAGGTACGCCTCACCTGAGCCCTCCTGTAATTATGTGAAGAAAAAAAAAAAAAGTAGATTTGGTTTGAAAACTTGTTGCTTTCATGGTTGTTGTTGTGGTAGCATGCATGGGTGAAAATCTGTAAATATTTAGTGGTGTTTGATGGTGAGTTTTGTTTGTTTGTGCATTTTACTTTGAGAAAGGGCAATAGTAGAATTGGTTGTTAAAGTTTTGAGTGTTTTGGTTTGTTTGTTTGTTTGCTTGTAATGGAACATTTGTGCTGTGGAGATTGGTCTTATTTCATGTTTGAGTTTTTTCATCTTTTACATTGACATTGACCTTGTTTGCTGATGTTTAACTTTAACCTAAACATTGATTCTGTATTTGTTTGGCAAAATTGTTCATAACTCTCTTTTCGAAACTTAAATGTAAATTATTTTTTATTTTATAAATTGTACGGAGTTCCCTTATACTTTTAGAAAGAAAAACGTTACATGAAACTTCTCTGGTTTTGAAACTCAGTATAAATCTCCACTTTACTTAAAAAGAAATTGCATGACCACCTTATACTTTCAAACATATTTGGATAGAAAACCATCATTCCATTCCACAACTCAGGTTTCATCATTCCATTCCACAACTCAGGTTTCATGGGGTGGAGTTTCATGTAAGGTTTTTGAAAGTATAGGAGAGTATAATACAATTTTTAAAGTACAAGAGATTTTAAACAGAACTTTGAAACCAAAGGGAGTTATGAGCAATTTTATCAATTTATTTATTTATTTATTTTTTATTTTTTATTTTGTGGGGCTGAAATTTCATATGTTGATTGAAACTTGCATATTACAGAATTTAGTGTATTACTTTGAATTAGTTTTGAGAGAGAGAGAGTGAGTGATTATTGGTAAGTTTGTGACACTTGGAAGGAATATTCCATGAGATATATAAAATAATGGTAATATTATCATATGTATTAACACAATTCTTCTTCTTCTTCAATTCCATGATTTATGCTTTCCACTGTCACATGACAGGTCACTGTTATTGCCATACTTTTCTTTTCTTTTTTTAATAACATTTTTATTGGGATTTTTCCCAAGTGGTGTTGTAGTTTCAAAAACTTGGAATGTGGTGGTGTGCAAAATTGTGGGCGCTGTGCTGTGGTGTGAGTGATAAAGTTGATTGTAGTTATAATGGTGTTTTGTCTTATTACGCTTGAAAACTGCATCTTGAAATGATAACTTCTTGCTACATTATTTGCAAGTGGCAACCCTTCTTCTTTTAATGATGTGAGAGCCCGCGAATCATGTGCCATACGTGACTTGCCATACGTGACTTGAAGCTTCAGAGCTTTGAATCTATGACCTCATTTTCAATTTTCACACCCGCGGCTAGAAGGGTACATTGCAATTTATATACTATTTTCGTTCGGTTTTAAAAGTTATTTATTTTTTACGTGTTGATATTTGAATATTAATTATATTATCAAAATGCAATACAAATTAAGAAAAATTTGTAAAAATATTTCAATTAGTGTGTTATAATACTAATATAAAAATATTTTTTTAATGTTAAATGCAATAACGCAAAAAGATAAATGCGATCTTAGAGGCGGATGAATTGAGTAACGTAAACACAATATTGTATGAACATAGAATCATATGTAGTAATATACTATCTCTCTTATTTATTTTTTTTTTGTGTTGATTTTTTAATATTGCCTAATTATTATATGAAGACGTAGTACAAGTTAAGAAAAAATTGTAAAAATACCTTAATTAGTGTCTTATAATACAGTAGAAGCACATTTGTAAAAAAGCACATTTGTAAAAAAAAAAAAAAATTATACAAATATAAGAATATTTTTAATGTTAAATACAATGATACAAAAGTTAAATATAACTCTTATAGACGGACGGATGCAATGTTATACTCCCTCATTTCCACTTATCATGTCCATGTTGTCGTTTCTGCGGTCCCAATGCTACTTTCTTTCTTTGAAAATGATTACCCATCATAATTTCCTTTTTATATTTTCTAATTTAATTTTTTTTTAATTTTAATTAAATTAATTAGTTATTTTAATATAATGATTTATATTATAAATTCATTATTTTTATTAATATATTTTTAATTATCTATTAATTATACTTATCATAAATTTGTGTGTCTATAGTGATCAAGACACCCAAACGGATGGAGTATTATATATAATAATATAATATATTGTCGAAATATATATGATGTATTGTATTAGAGGACAAAGTTTTAAGTGGGGGTATTAAATTACTTGTAAAATATTTTTAAATATTGAAAATATTAATTACATATAATGTTTTTAATTTACATCTACACTAAACCAGGGTATGATTATTTGTATTCTACTTTTTTACTTTGGCTCTTTGAGTTTTGATATATATATATATATTTTTGTTTGTTCAATATTTTTTTTATACAATTTTTAATATATATTTTATTTTTTTTACGAAAAAATTAACAATTAATACAAAGTATTATTTTCTTTATATCTTGCTTAAAAAATATTTCAAATTAAAATACTAAATAAATAAAGAAATATATATCAAATTAAAAAAAAAAATTGATATAAAATAAATACTATTGCTCAATAAGTTGAAAATACAAATAAACAAAACATTTAAAAATATTTAATATAAATAAAATGAGGCCATATTTGTTTGTAGGTGGGTGGGGTGGGGTGGTGTGTCTGATTAAAAACAGTGAATGAATGCGATGCAGGAGCAAGAAGAGCACGTTCAAAGTCTGGAATTAATGGAAATGGACAAATAGGGGTGGCTGGGGTCCACGTTTCTTTCATCTCTAATTTTGTTACTCTATTCATAATATTTTTTTTTATATATAATTTTTCATTTAAATTACTTGAAATTTTTGCAATTTTTATTTATTTATATACGGTTATATTATATTTAAAAATATTTTATAAATTTATTCCATTACAAACAGAACTTATTAATAAGAGAACTACATACTTCTAAGCTTGTATCTTCCATTACAAACAAATTATACGGGAATGGGTGTGGCTTTATCATGAGCCATACAATAAAGGTGTTCTTTTAATAGAACATCGAGTTCTGGCCAGTGACTTTATAACCCTTGATTGGGTATTCCCTGGCCATGTACAACTGAGACATCGGAGCCACCTGACTGGAATAAAACACTGACTCTTCAACTTGTTCTGTTACATCGAATGGATTATCATTCGCTTCCATTTTGAAGACCTGATTTCCTTCCCAGAACATTAATTGTTGGTGCAAGGTTGATGGCACACATTGAGAGGCATGAATCCAGTCTCTTCCCAGCAAGAGAGAGTATGTAGTATCTGCGTCCACAATAAAGAAAACGGTGGAGATCTTCTTTGGCCCGACCTCGATCGTGGCAACCATCATGCCTTCAGGCTTAGTCGGCTGCCCTGTAAAACTTGTCATTTCGAATTCCACAGGAGACAGATCATGAATTCCTTTCCCTAACTTCTTGAGGGTCTTCAATGGCATAACATTAAAGACTGCTCCATTATCGACGAAAACCTTTGTGATTGGTTTCCCACAAATGTGAGCATTAACATACAGAGGTTTCAAATGGGAAATCGCACCCTCTGGAATAGGAGGAAACACGATCGAAGGTGCCTCCGTTTGAGGCTCGGAATCTGTAGTCTTTGCCCACTCTGTTTCCTCTAATTCGTCATCTGCCAAGAATGCCCATAAAGGTTCATCCAGAGTATCATCTACCAGACTTGCCCACATCGGTTCATCACTCATCTGATTAATCTCTGTCATTCGACAAGGGATTCGTGGTCCCAGACGAGATTTAACAGATCTTGAACTTTCCTCTGTAATTACTACTTCTTCCTTTGTCATATCCCGAGACTGAACCGTCAAAGATTCAATACGGAATTCTTCAAGAGATGGATTGATGTTGATCCGTTCACAATGTTGGCATCTAAAACCTTTAATTATTTCATCTGCCATTCCTTTACCTTTCCCTTGTCCCGACGAACCTCCTTTGGTATAGTCGGAAGCACCTAATCGGTCGTTCGGTTGCTTTCCTGAACAGACCCGACTGGACCGACTTTTTGGAGATTGCATGACTGCTCCTTGCTCGCTGGTCGGTTGTTCTGTGGAGACTCTAACGGACCGATCTCCTGCCCAGTGGTCGGCTGCTTTTTGTTCGTCGGTTAGTTGTTTTGCTGAAGGAACTCGTTTCCCATACTTTGCAGCATACCTGCGTTTGGCATTTCGAATCTGTGTACGATTCATGCCTGGGAAACGAGGATCTATATCAACGGGTAAAGGCTTTTTATTTCGAGCCCAATTGTGCCCGACTGATCCTGTTTTTCTGGTCGGGTGGTCACGTACTACAACCCTTTCTTTCACCTCCACATTAAACGAACCGTCTAGTCGGTCCCATTTTTCAGCGACTGGTCTTTCAACAACTTTGAGTCGTTCTTCCGGTCGGCCACTGTTAGGCTGACTTCCCTTTTTAGTTCCAGGGTTTGCCTGAGTTCGTTCCCCTGTATGTCCATCATTGGCCGAACTTTTCCCTGTTTCCGAACTTGGTTGGATGTCAACCATTGCCGTTGTTACTTTCGGAAATGGTTGCTGGTCTACACCTAGAGTGATGTATTTGAGCCGACCTGTCTTAATGGCTTTTTGAATTTCCTTCCTGAAATGAGTACACTGACTTGTATTGTGTGTGAAAGAATTATGCCACTTACAATATGGTCTCCCTTTGATTTCTTCTTTAGTGGCCAATCTTTGCCCCTTTGGAATACGGATCTGCCCATCAGTCAGTAGGATGTCAAAGATTTCATCAGCTTTCGAACTATCAAAGGTCGGTTGCTCTTTTCCTTCAGATCCTGGAACTGGCTTCAATTTAGGGCATACATAAGGTTTTCCAGAAAGGATTTCGGCTGCCATCTCTTCTGACTGATTAAAATCAAAGTCACATGTTTCTGTTCCCATACTCGCCATATGTTGGCCTCTATTACGCCTGTTATGCTGATCTTCTTCTCTAAACAAAGATTCTAAACGTCCTGCCTTGGATGCAAGACTTGCCAAATCCTCAACATCCAGGGCAGTGAGTGCCTTTCTTAAACGAGTATGCATATTCCGTACCACTAAATTGGTCATCTCTTTCTCACTGATTACCGTAGGACATCGTCCCTTCATCAATCGCACCCTTTCTATAAATTGTGAAGCAGATTCTTCTGGATACTGCCTCAATTCCAGTAAATCTGTTAAAGAAACAGTCGGTAAAGGATTGAAGAATCTAGCATGAAATGCCGTCTCCAGTCCTT